AAAAATGTTTTTTCCCCCCCCCCCCTTTTTTTTTTTTTTTTACATAAATCTTACAAAACTGAATGAAGTTTATTCATAAAACAAAAAGAAAATTCCCAAAGGGCTGAGGAAAATTTGCAAAATATGAAACAATGAAAATATTATACACAACCTTGCAACATTTTTTACAAAATATATACCTTGTTTTAAGTATTTTTGGATATTTTACTGCAAGACAAGATGAAAATACAATAGTGATTTTTTTTTCAGCTGTGATTGAAATCTGTTTCATATGGCATATGGCATATACATATGGCTTTAATTTATCTTTAAAATCGTAGAAGAAAAAAAAGATTGCTTAGTTTTGGTTTGATAAAGTAAATGGTAAGTTTTTTTGTGTTTTTTTTTTACACCAAAGAACAAAACTTGATTTGTCTGTAAAAGCTACTTACAACAGCTAATGATGTAAGTAAGATCAAACAATCTAAAGCAAACACTGACCGGTCCATGTTTTTTCACTGCTGAGAGAGAAGCTCGTGCACTGTGGATGAGAACTGCAGATGAGCGCGGCCTCTCTGGCACTGTGCACAGACAGCACGCAGCCCTGCTGGTTGTACGACGGCCAGCATCTGTACTCCATATCTGCAACACTCCTCATTCCTTTCAGGACAGCATAATCTGCGCAAAGAGGAAAAAATGCATCAAAATCATTCCAGGATCCAGTCAACACTGTTGTAACACCCATCTGTAAAATATTACCATGTTCAGAGACTTTAAGAGAACAGAGTCCTCTCACAGTAGAGGTGGCAGAATCTCATGTTACTAAATGTATGTGTGCACATCTGAGTACAACAAAAGACATGCATACTGCAGCGGTGGCTCTGCCAAAATCTCAAAACAGAGGGGAATGTGTGGAAACTTTTTACGAGAGTTGTTGTGAACACATTTGGACGTAAGATTTGAATATTCTTTGACAATGCTTGGCTGTTTTAATGTCTCTGTGCAGCTTTATTGTGGCCGTGTGATTGACTTATGGGTGTCAAAGCTCACAGGGAGGGAGTGAGAGAGTCTTATGGGCTACTAAACTTGCCCTTGAAGATGGATTGAGTTACACAGGTTTTATGACTGAAGTACATCTTCTTAACGGAGCAGTCAGAGACACATCATGCTGGGAGCACTGCATATATCTGGAATGCTTTTCGCCATAGTTATGATTGAATATGTATGTAATGGGAGTTGAAAACTGTTAAGAAGTATAATTCGGCATTAAAATCAACGCATTACCTCTAGTTATTGATGGCGGCAAATTTTCCAGGTGCAGCCCAGATTTGTACATATGCAAAACCTCTTCGAAGGCGACCAGGGTTTTATTCATGCTTTGCTTCATATCTCCTGTGACAAGCACATGAATTAAGTTTCCATTATAGAGCCACTTTTGCTGTGATAGCCAGGCTGATCATCAAGATGAATTTCGCAGTAAAACTCACCTGTGGAGTTCATTATTTGGTGAATAAGAGGTTTCAGCAGTGGGGGAGCTTGATGAGGCAGTAGGTAGGTGAAAAAATACCTGGAGAGGAAAATAACGAATTCATATAATTCATCCGAAACTCAGCCAAGAATAGCAGAGAGGCGATTCACGCTGCGAGATCAATATGCTACAACTGATGCCCTGACACTCAGCGGGGTGGATAATTAATCATAACAGGCACAGGAGGGGAGAAGCTGCCATGAAACTCCCCGCACAGACCATGCCAGACTCTTGTATGACAACTATTTTATTATCTGGCTCAGACAATAAAGGATGGAATGTGGGAAGTGCTCACCTGTAGGCATTGTAGAGGTTCCTCATCTCGTTCAAGCCTTCGCAGATTCTAGAGGACGAGCATCGGAGGGTGAAATTGCGGAGGGGAAACTGCAGCTGGCAGTCTGAGTCCTCTTGACAGGCCGGTTCTTGAATACTTGCATCATCCAAGTCCGTTAACTTGAGTTCTCCTGACACCATAACAAACTGTCGAGGCTGGAAATCCAGCAGGGCTACCGAACCCAGCGGTGAGCGAGACAGATATTGAAGAAGCCGCACTAAACCAAGACAGACCTGTGCACAAACAAAATCAATAGTTACTAACACTGGCAAAAGCAAAAATTGTTAAAAATTATTCATTTGTGAATGCCGATCCATTCTTATGTTACCAATTTTATGTACTAATAAAACATAATTAAAAATGTATTTAAATTTTACTTTACTTTTAATACAGTATATGTATTTATTTATTATATTTTATTAAATTATATACTAATTTGGCACTCTTTTTTGAGATTATTCACTTGTGAATGTCATGCACCAATGTTATGTACCAACAAAACTTAATTACAAAATAATTTTTATATATTTATCTTATACAGTTTAATATAATAATTTATAGAATTATGTAAAATTACATTATATATATATATATATATATATATATATATATATATTATTTATATT